AAATAAAAAAAATGAAATGAAACAACTTGAACGCGGTCACAATATACTGATCGTATTTGGAAAATAAATAAAAACATCCCCAACTCAAGAGATATACATAAAAATCTCGACATTCAGTTACAATTAAAAAAAAAATGTTTGATAATGGCTAAAAATATAGCCCAAATAGTACGGATTTGCAAAACATTCGGTAGGATTTTAAACACTTTATGTCCAGAAAAGAAAAACATGTGTGTGTGTGTGTGTGTGTGTGTGTGTTAATAATTCCATGGCTTTCCCATTCATCAGATACTGAGAGTTATAAACTTTTCAATCCGTATTGAACAGTTCTCTCAGTACCTGATGATTGGGAATGCCATGAAACTCTGAGTCGTATTGTGAAGGTAGGTATATGTGTAATTATTAATATATATTTCATAACTCTGTTTAACTGCATTGAGCACTGTTTTGTCTACACCAAAAATGAAACAAATATTCATTTGTTCACCAGTATGTGTACGTAATTGCATGCATATTTTTTTGGTTGCTCATATTTATTTATTTATGTCATTTTCAACACACACACACACACACACATATATATATATATATATAAATTGTGTGCATTTAGGCTGCATTTTTTCATTGATGCATGTTTCATTAAATAATATAGACAAGTTTTCTTATCGGTTGATGAGCTTAATTATTGAAAGACGAAAGAAACTCACCATATTGATACATGTTTTATTAATCCTATCTAAGCTTTCAGCTTACATAAGCCATCATCACAGATGACAATAACATTACAATATATTAAACAATACACAGACAAAACAATAATGATAGTCTGTTTTTGTTTAGAGGGAAGACTTCCGATCAACGCCATCTCGTGCATACGAGACGCTGGAAGCGAAAATAGCACCGCGTCATATATGTTCACGCGAGAGTGAAAACGAGAAGTGTTAAGTATAGGAAGCCGTTGGTATAAACCAATGGCTTCTGTTGAATAAATATAGTTTTGAGTTCTTTTATATCTATGGGATAAGGTGCACAATATCAGGGATAGGGCGTATGTAAATATAAAAGTGAACATTGACGTCAAGGCTTCAAGGCGACAGAATGTTTTATGACAAACGCAAATATCATTTCACCTGTTGTTTGCATTTAACTGTTTGTCTGAGTGTTGACTTCAATGTTCACTTATATATATATATATATATATATATATATATATATATATATATATATTACATGAATCATTCATACAAAAACAGATATAGAAGTTAATGATTTAAATGGCGAGAATACATCTTCGCAAACACATTTAATGAAGTACATTAACCCCGAACCTGTAGATGGATGTTATGATCCCTGTTTATAAATTCCAGGTGCATAAGGTCTTTTTTGTTTTTTTACACACCTACCAGTACAAAAGAATTCTCCTATTACCATATTAGTACAAAACGCTCCCAAAAAATTTCTTGCAGTTGGCAGGAGCACATTTCTAAAATTTTTTCGGGTTACATCTATATTTTCATTGTCCTGTTATTACCGAGAAGAAAAAAACAAAAACAAATCTATTTCCATACTTGAGGATGTCTGTAGGAACAGACGAAAGCTTATAAAAACTAAAAAAGACCTTATGCAACTGGAATTTTTAAACAGGGATCATAACATTCATATACAGGTTCGGGGTTAATGTACTTCATTAAATTTGTTTGCGAGGATGTTTTCTCTACATCTTTTATATGATCCATGTAATGTAAATTGAACTGCACCATATTTGATTTCTCTCTCTCTCTCTCTCTCTCTCTCTCTATATATATATATATATATATATATATATATATATATATATATATATATATTAAAAAGGAGACAGAAACCGCAAACGTCTTTGGTTGTAATGTGGATTTTTCTAAAAAATATTATGCTATATTTTCCATAATTTTGCTACACGCGTTTGCGGTCTCCCGACCAACATCAAATCTAGTAAAAAGTCAATTCTGAAAACAAAAGTGACCGTAAGAATCTCCTTGTTACCGAAACTCCAGTAGCAGCACCGTGACTGTGAATTTGTGACCCCCTCCAAACAGGATTATCTACCGGTTTAAGTTTTATTATTTTATCTATTCATTAAAAGATGAGGTTTTTATAACGTATCATCCATTCTGGCTCTTAAAAGAAATAATATAGAAAAATAGATCCTGATTGAAGACCTCAAATAAATAATATTTTCATAAATTATAATTTGTATTATATACATTCATCCTAGTTCGAATTTTCGAGAGAAAGAGCTTTTTTCGGATATTTTTATCAATAAAATTGTATGAGACGACGAATCAATTTTAAATGATTAGAGAGATATTTTAAAAACAGATTAAATAAAACAAAAATGTATTACGGCTTAGCAAAAAAATAAATAAATAAATAACCGCTCAACTCCATTGAAATAATAAAAATTCTCAAGTTTTGGAGTAAAAAGAAAAATATCGGCGAGCCGTAAAGCCAGTGTGAAAACATGGATTATACCCACAGCCCAGAGTATACTCGTGGTTATTTTAAATATTTATTACGGTAAAATTACGGCAAATATAGAACACGGTAAAATAACGGTTTTCACATGATTTACCTTTTAACCTATCTTTGGCAAAAGATGCCTTCCGACAAGTAAGCAGAGTATTAAGAAACAGAAAAAAAATACGTAATCGCAGACAGAGTACTGAACTGTTACGCAATAGCAGTCCTCTTATGTAGTAGTAATTCTCCTCACAGATGAAGATAATATTTTAAGCAACAGAAATGTTGTTCTACAGAAATATGCTGAGGATACCATGAACCGAAACATTTGAGGAACGACAAAACTTTTAGAGAAAATATAAACAAAAAGGTAACTTATAGTTAACATCAGGGAGAGACAGTTGAAATATCTAAGGCGGATAAAGAGGAAAGAGGGCTTAGAAAATCTGATACTCACAGGTCAGATCGAAGTCAATAGTGACAGATGAAAACATCGCATAACTTACTAAATAAGTTGCTTGGGTAAGTGGATGGCAGAACAGAAGTTTAAGGAGAGATAGCAAAAAGATAACATTTATTAAGAGCTATAAAGGATATTCATTGTCACCTAGATGCTGAAGAAAACACAATCACTGAGACATTCGGCCGAATATATATTTTTTATCCCTTGACCCGTAGGGACACAAGGTGTACCAAACTAGAAGTGTTGTTTCTTGGGCAAGACGGCCTGACAAAGCCCAAGTCTCTCCTCTGGCCGGTTTTGAATTTGGAGTTTTCCCTTCTAGACCGATTTCAGTCTGTCCTGCTGGAGTGGATTGGGGAGAAGAGGATCCATAGCTTTTCAAATGGGTATTAGCACGTAAGTAAATGTAATGGATACGACTGGAATTTGAACTCGTCACTCTAATTCCTCATTCCGAGCCTCTATCCATTTCTCCACCTGTCTCTTAGCCCGTGTATTATAATACAACAATTACTCTTTGGATTTCTAATCAATCTCAAATGTATAATTTTTATTTTTGGTGGCTAAAGGAAAGAATAACAACATTTAAAATTTTGTCCTCAAAATTGGGTTTATTTTAAATTATACTGCATTATAACCGTGGGTATAATTTCAAAGCAAGATCAGATTATATCTCCGGGTATAAAATGCGCAACGCTAGAATATACCTCAATTAACCAGAAAACACTACTCCTTTTCTAAAGTAATAAGATGTAAGTTATTGTATCCATAAATGAGAGTCGAGAATATTACGTATCAAGCAGTGTCACACCTACACATTTAAACCGACAAGAGTAACAAAACCAAACCGAGACTTAACTATGCCAATTTTGAAACAGGCCTCCTCTTCTTGCCATTACTTACACCATGAGTAGGCGCATCGTATAGAACACCATTTTTACTAGTTTGTATACGTACATGACACATGCCGGGTAAGGTTTACCACCTCCCATTTGCGTCTCTGTCCTCGTGAGTGTGACTCAGTTGTGGCTCTGTCCGCCGGCAGAGACGCAGCTGAAGAAAATAAATACTGTGTGGTGCCTGGTTTCAGGGGAACAACTGCCTGAGGCTGCATCTCCATTGCACTAAAGATGGGGGATTGGTAGTCATACCGGTGCCAGCGCAACCAACGGCTGTGTGGTCTGAACAATTTTTATCCTTCGCCCGTGTGTACGCGCTCGGGTTTCCGACGTTAAACACAATCTTGTGCCACCTCCCGTCTCAGTTGGGAGTCCAGGATAAATACCTTCTAGTTTGTAGACGTTAGCCATTACTATCATATTTGTAGACTGGAGCCGTCATGTGATATTTTAACTAAGAAGATCAATTGTAGATGTAGTAAAAGAGCGTATAAAATGGCCTCACCGATATAGCTTAGACGCGTATATTTTATACCATGAAGTATAGGTTAAGCTAGCCTCTATTATACGCCGGAGAGTATTCTGAATGGTAATCTAGATCCGATAATATTCTGGGAGCGGTTTAATCTGGGTTGCTATACTGAGAAGTTATATCTGAACACAATTTCAACTTGTTTAATATTGAAAAAAGAAAGGGTAACATGAGTTTCAGCTAACATTACCTATCCTCATCGAAAATATTAATATATTAAAATAAAATATTAATAATTCTTTCTCGGGCTATCAGTTTTTATTATGCAAATTAAGTGCAAAATATATATAAGTATGTCCCAAATATAAGAAACATATATTTCGCACAATACCTAAATAAATTATAATTTATTTTTTATTCTATTTTGGGATCCTCGACTTTTTATAACATCCATTCATGACGTTCTATACGACAAGCTTACTCATAGTGCAACTAAGGAACAAAAAAGGAAGCCTATTTCAAAAGTGTCTAATTTTAGTCTTGCTTGTGGCTTGCGGTAGTTCGAAATACCGCATGAGAATCTCATTATTTTTTATAAGTTTCACCTCATGCAAGGCAGTAAAGCCACTAAGACACAAGGGGTTACAGGGTGTTGAAAAATATTAATAATGAGCTGGAAGAGAAAAGACTAATCAGGAGAGCAGTAGATAGTGATTGGCATTGCATTTAAACTTTTGCGGACTAAAGTTGTCCGGAAAGCATGGGACCGGAAGGGGAATCTTCCTTCCGGTCCCATGCGAGAAAAGAAACTGTTAGAATAGAATTTACGGCTACATCTCGCCAGCTCAGCTGTAAATTGACGAGATCTCAACGCCAGTCTAGTGCTGCGCCTAAATTTAAAAAGTCTAGGTAGCACAGCGAAGAGCTTTATTTGTAAAATGACAAAATGTGGCACAAGGCCAAAACTAGGATTGAGAAGAAAAGGACTGTCTTCTTCTGTCTTAACGATAAACTTAGCCATCCACAAACACTGACCTAAACATACAACAATATTCTGTACACCAAAACAACGCATTCTTACTTGCCATTTTTACGTCATCCACCATAAGACCTCAGAGTCTCCACGAAGTCAGTCCCCATATGTACAATTCTTGTCTGTGAGGGGGATAAAACAATAATTTAAAACCTGACCCCAATATGTATGTACAATATGAAAAAAAAACTTTACAAGAAACTAAACAAAATAATATTAGTAATAAAACCCCCTACAATCCTTAAATGTAGCAGAATCATCAGTTAACTGGACGAGATCAGTACAGGATATTAATGATAAAACCTTCATTCATTCCAACCACTCAAACACAGACTCATTGAAACACAAGAACAAATACGAAAATCACACCCGAAACAATACGAAAGGCGTCCCGCATCTACCAGAGAAATGGGGTCCCTGCTCACCTAATATCTGATATATACAGGAATGTGGTTTATGGCTGAAGGAGGGGATTGGGGAAAGAACGATCTTCTTTTGTTTTAACGATAACTTAGCTAGCCACAAACACTGACCCAATCATACGAACAATGTTCCTTACACCAAAACAACGGATTCTTACGTACCTTTCTTACTACATTCACCATAATACCTCATGTCTCTATGAAAATACTAACTAGTCCCCATATTTACAATTCATTGTCTGTTGGGGGAGAGGGGAATAAGGCGAAGAGCTTATCCATACCATGAAAGGATTTATAGAAAAGACACAGGGAGGCAACCATACGGCTGTGGGAAATTGACTGAAGCCGAACAGCCAGACCAGGACCGATAATATAGCTGATTCTTCTTTGGATTTTATCAAGGAGCTCAAGGTAAATAGCAGGGTCACCAGACCATATATGGCAGCAATATTTTAAGCATCAATAAATAGTAGACATATAAATATTTATGATATATTCTGTAGAGAAAAATTGTCTCGCACGACACAGTGAACCAACTTTCTTCTTATTTATTATTTGTTTATTTAGCAGCATATCAACTCCTTATGGATCATTTAATGTCGAAACTTAATTTTCTTGGGATCATTATTTTACAAAAAAAAAAATAATACTTTTAATTTTTTCCTTGCAGAATGAATTGTTGGTAATTATTTTTTGTAAAAACGTATTGCATGTATGTTTTTATTATAGAAATTTATTGCTGATATTTTTACCCCAGTTTGCCCATAGCTGAGACCTTAATAGATGCTACTACCTTAGGCCAAGGTGTACCTGGAAACAACAGCAATTAAGAGGTGATTCGACATAACTCAAGACCTCCAGATCAGAAGAATTGCTGCTGGTTGTAGTTTATCGTCATACACGAGACCCCAAATTTATAAGCAGCTGACATAACAAAAGATTCAATATAGTCTTTCATTTTTATGTCAGTTTAGAACGTTAGCCCGAGAAGGCGCAAACAGTAATTAATTTTTTGCATTTATATTTAGAATAATGTTTATGATATTATTATATGTTTATTATATTATATATTATTCACTATATTATAGCTATATTATATTAACACTTGCTATATAATTAAATGTTCATATTATATGCACTTGAGAGATTATATGTGTATTATATTATATACACTTGCTATATTATTACATGTTTATTATATACACTTGCTATATATGTATAATGTATGTTTATTATATTATATGTTTATTATATTATATACAAATGCTATATGTATATTATATGCTTATTATATTATATTTTATACACTTGTTTTTTATAAATATTATATATTGATTATATTATTTACACTTGCAATATTATTAAATGTTTATATATTATTTTATTATATTGTTTATATATTATATTTTATACACAGGCTATGTTATTATATGCTTATTATATTATATACACTTGCTATATTATTATCTGTTTATTATTATTACTTTATATTATATACATTGGCTATATTATTACATGTTTACTATATCATATACACTTGCTATATATAGCATATGTTTATTATATTATTATATGCTTATTATATTATATACCCTTGCTATATTATTATATGTTTATTATATTACATAAATTTGCTATATTATTATATATTTAATATATTATATTATACACACTTGCTATATTATTATATGCTAATTATATTATATACACTTCCCATATTATTATATGTTTATTATATAATATACACTTGCTATATTATCATATGTTTATCAAATTATATACACTTGTTATATTATTGACCGTTTATTATATTATAAACATAACTTAAATTATTACATATTAATTATATTATATACACTTGCTATATTATTATATGTGTATTATATTATATACACTTGATATATTGTTATATGCTGTCTGTTTTATTATATTATATACACTTTCAATATGATTATTATGTTTATTATTTTATTATATTATATTTCATTATATGTACTTACAATATTATTATGTTCATTATATTATATACACTTGCTATATTATTATATGATAATTATATTTCATTCTCTTGCTATATTCTTATAGGTTTATTATATTATATGTATTTCCTTTATGTATATTATACGACTATTATATTATTATAAGTTTATTTTATTATATACACTTGCTATATTATTAAATTTTTACAATATCATATTATATAATTTTGCTATATGTATGCTATATATGTATTACATTATATACGCTTGCTATATTATTACGCGTTTATTATATATACTTACTATATTGTGACATGTTTATTATATTATACACACTGACTCATTTATTATATATTTATTATATTATATACTCTTGCTATATTATAATATGTTTATTATATTATATACACTTGCTATATTATATGTTTATTATATTATATGCACTTGCTGCCTATATACTTTGTTTATTATATTATAATACACTTGCTATATTATTATATGTTTATTATATCATATACACTTGCTATATGTTTATTATATTATACACACTTGCTATATGTGTATTATATGTTTATTATATTATTATATGTTTATTATATTATATACACTTGATATATTATTACACGTTTATTGCTGTATGCAAACTTATTTTATACTGAACTCACAAAAAATGTAATTTAGTTTTATTAGTTTTAACAATTGCCATTTTACATTTTAAATTAATTTAATATTCTTTTACATGAGATTTGTATTCATAATGATTTATAATTCAATAATGAAAAATCTGTACTTTTGTTTCGAACAGATAAAACCTATTTTAACCACAGACCTTATACTGTAATGTAATTTTTTTACATTCAAAAATGAAAGAACAAAAAAACAATTTGAAGATCTGTAAAAGGCAGTAACGGAAAAATTCACAATTTTGTTTGATATGAAGAACGATTTATTAATCTGATTCATCTCGACTTTCTTATTACAAACGTTAGGAAATCTCTCTGAAGAAATTTAATTTTAATAATGTTTTGTAATGTTCAATTTTTTCCCAGAGACTTTTTCCGAAAACCTTTTCCTCAGTTCTCTTTGTTCACTGCTAAATTAAAAAAAATTACATGTTGCCGTCGTTCATTTACAAATGTTGCCATATCACATTAAATTAATTTCATATTTTTCTCTATAGTGTTATCAATAAGCAAAAATATATGTATACCAAAATATAATGTTTTATATGAATTTTTGTATTTTTCTTTATAATCCTCATCAGTTCTCCGTCTGCTTCAATGATCTGGTTGTGGGGAGGACAGAAGAAACAGACAGATTCTTCTATCTCGGGATTCTTACAGATTGTTTGGTGGCGACCATCTCCTCTCTTGACCGACAGCAGAAAAATACATTATATACTCTCGGTCTGCATACTAGGCCATCAGATTTTGAATTGCCCTTCTATTTAGTCGCCTCCGAAGGATATAGAATCCAAACTGTTTTACTATTTATCCATAGATAGGCGAGATGAATTTAGACATTTCCCACGGATATTAGCGCGTAAATGAATGTAATGAACTCCACTGGGATTCGAACTCGTCTCTCCGCTATCCATTACTCAAGCTCGTTTTCTTTCTAAACGGTTTTTTTTAAAAAAAAAAACTTTATTGAATTTTTTTTTTAGTTTACCATTAAAAATATAAAATAGAAGTAAATGTAATAAAATTAATGAAAAAGTCATTTATTGAGAATGCTGTTATAGTATAATTAAATATGATATAATTAATATGATATAATTAAATTTAATTTGATATTTTTAGATATCGTAAATGAGGTGCCTAGAAAGAACATTAGCCGTAAGCCTGCTGCGAAACCACGCATTTTAAGAGACATTTTTCTCTAGGTACTTCTCTAATCCTAAAAAAAAACCTATCTTTATAATTAAAACGATCAAGATCAGAAAAGGCTCATTTACCACTGTCGATAAAATATATAGCAACAATCAAATCGACAAATTACAACATGTGAACCTATGAACCAATAATGATTGCTACAAATAATAAATAAGGGAAACATCAAGGAATTTAAATCCAAGATAATATGAATACAAAACGGTTCTTCGTCCTGGGTATGATGATAAACTACATCCGCGTCCTGGGTAAGACGGTAAACTAACGTCCAACAGCAAGGCCTCTGATCAAGAGGTTTTGAGAAGAGTGGAACCGCCTCTTAATTGCTGGTGTTCCCAGGTCCCAGATCTGGGCAAAAAGTTAACACCCAAACTTGTGTAAAAATAGGTTTTAATACCAGAAATACTTTGTGATAAGAAAAATTATTACCAGCAATAATTTTTGAAGGAAAAATTATTATCAGTAATACTTAAAAAAAAAATACCAGGAAGACAAACAACTATAAATTCTTTGAAAAAAATATGACCAGCTATAGAGTTATTCAAGGAAAAATATTCCCAGAAATAGATTTTTGAAGAAAAACATATTACCAGTAATACAAACTTTGCCGGCATAAATAAGTCATTGAGGTTGATATGCCGTAACACAAACCAAACCAAACCAAACAAACCAAACCAAAAGGGATCTTTTATAAAACAAGACACTCAGTCTGAGTCTATTTTCAGTTTAAAAAAATGCTGCTATAATTAAAAGAAAAGGAAATTAATTAAGGCTGAAATGTATAAAACGTGCTTTGATCGCTAGATTATCCGCAGTAAATTTACATCCAGTTTCTTACAATATTTCACCCTCCTTAGCAGATCTCTTATTATCACAATCTGCGATACTTAAATACCTACATCTACTGCAAGGAAAGTTAGTTCGCTCGCGCCAGAAGGCTTCTATCTATCTATCTATCTATCTATCTATCTATCTATCTATCTATCTATCTATCTATCTATCTATCTATCTATCTATCTATCTCATCCTATACACTACCAGAAGGCTATCTATATCTATCTATCTATCTATCTATCTATCTATCTATCTATCTATCTATCTCATCCTATACATTACCAGAAGGCTTCTATCTATCTATCTATCTATCTCATCCTATACACTACCAGAAGGCTTCTATCTATCTATCTATCTATCTATCTATCTATCTATCTATCTATCTATCTATCTCATCCTATACATTACCAGAAGGCTTCTATCTATCTATCTATCTATCTATCTATCTATCTATCTATCTATCTATCTATCTATCTATCTATCTCATCCTATACAGTGTCTACCAGAAGAATTGCATTTTCAGACATATTCAAGTGTTTGTCCTTCGATTCCAATTTCTATCTATCTATCTATCTATCTATCTATCTATATCTATCTATCTATCTCATCCTATACACGACCAGACAAAGTGCTTCTGATCTATCTATTCTATCTATCTATCTATCTATCTATCTATCTATCTATCTATCTCATCCTATACACTAAAAACATGTATTAAACATGACATGTGGAACTAGAACAGTCTCCTAAAAGCTAAATGTGCTTAGATGCGAAATAAAAGGGTTCAGTTCGATATTCCAACCACCTAAAGAAAACAAACTTTGGCCGGAACGAAATAAACTAAAACCAACTGGCCGAAACGTTGTAATGAATATGGTGACAAAGATGAGGACAATAGTCCGAATAACGTAAATAGTAAATAGTAATATATGTATAATTTCTTATTGGTGTAAACATTTTTAGTTAATATATGTGAGTAGATATAACTTTTTTTTTTTTTGTAAACACTCTAAGTAATGATTTTCATTCATATTCGATTTCATCACGATTCTCCTGTTAAGTTTGGAGTTTAATTATACATTCTTATTACTCAAAGTAGAGTCCAATATTGCTATAAAAATCCCGGAGAATTCCAGTAAGATATCTTTAATCATTTCTATGTTAAAACGGTTCATAGCTTAATCTAAGAAATGATCACTGGATTTGGACAATTTTGCCGTTACACCCGGTATGTCTACAGTTTCTTAGATGAACTTTTCTAATTGTTCTGTCCAGTCATAAAAATGTTTCAGCAATTGAATTTCTATGTAATCAATGGATTGTATTTTTAATCCGTCTTTCTTTAAACTTAAAAAAAAAATGGCGCTTCAACGCCGATCACAAAAGTAATTCAAACACCAATAATTGATTATTTGTTCTTTTTCCGGCATTGAACTCACTCTTTGGGTATTGATTTGCACTGTCCTCAGTTGCTTCTGATTGCAACTTCGAAATCTCCATACCAAAATCGTTATTAAACAGGGAATTTCGGGGATAAAGAATAAGGCTCTCGTAAAATTCTAAGTAGCATATTTTCGGTCCGGAAGTTTATCAAGAGCAGCTGCCTAAATGATAACCTGGGAAAATGATTAACAGACGATAATATTAATATCTAACCGCCATATTTAACTTTTTTTTTTTAAACACTCAAAGTAACAATTTCGGCCGTTGTAATTATCCGGCCTTCTTCATGATCACTGGATTTGGACAATTTTGGTTAATGTCGAACTTAGAAACTTTTCTAATTGTTCTGCTCATAAAAATGGGGTAGACTGTATTTCTAGTTCTTAAAAAAAAATGCTATGTAATTCAAACACCAATAATTGAATGGATGTCAGTCATTCAGTTATCTCCTCGTTAAATCGGGGGATAAAGAATAAACCTCTCTAAGCATATTTTTTCCACTGTCTTAACAAGGTATTGAACGAACTGAAACCTTTATTTCGCTCACTAGACTTTGGTTCCTGTCATGGATGGATCAGTTATCTCCTAAACGCCCTCAGTTTTCCACTGTGCCATGTGCCCTCAAGATACCAATAATGACTAATCTAAATCCTTTGAGGAAGACAAAAGTGAAAGGATTAACAAATCCTTCTTAAAGATTAAGGAACTTAGCATTCAGTTTAAAATATAAAATAACAAAGATTTGACTTAGATATGCAAGCCATGCTGCCTACATGTTTTTTTTTTAATAAAATTTTTTTAATATAAAAATACTTCATGAATTAAACTTGTTTTAACTTGGGACATACATGACTACATTTCAGGGTGCATTATTACGCCTGGACGCATCTTTTGAGAAATGATGTGCTGAACACTTGAAAGAGTAATTAATAATAACCAAATAGTTAATAAACCCAAGGACACAGTGGATAAAGGCGTTAGTTAGATCCAGTGACAGGACCCAAAGAGTGTGAGTTCAATAACCGGTTAAGGCAGTGGAGAACTTTCAGAGTGGAATTAATAGGAGATAACTGATAAGTGACATCCATTAAACATGGCACGTGGAGCTAGAACAATCTACTCCAGCGAGCGAAATAAAGGATTCAGCTCGACATTCCAACTACCTGAAGAAGGCCGGAGCGTACAACGGCCGAAACATAGTAATAAATATGGCGACAAGGATAAGGACAACAGTCATAGCTCATCTCAGAATTATAGACAAATAATATCTAACCATACATACATTTTTTTACCTGAACGTCTAATATACAGCCGCCTTTTCTGTTTATATACGCTAGAAATATTAGTTTTAATTTTATTCGAATTTATTTAATGAATACATATGAAGTAATAAGATAAGCACACCCCATCTCCCCTCTGACTATCCATTATAATAAATATATGCTTTTCACTGCTAAAGATGACTTAGTCTAATTAATCGTCGTAAGTTTCTAATTGGTGTTACTATATTGCAACTTATTACATACTAATAATTTTAGACGGTGTTTCTTTACTTGATTTCACTTACATTTCTGATAAATAATAATTGTATTAATTTGTTTTAATTTATTTGATGTGGAAGTTATCATTAATTTTGGCTGTGCCTGTCTTTAGTCTTTAAGCTGCTTTGTATAGTAACTTCCACATCATTATACAATTAAGCCTCTTCATTCTTAAAATACGAAAACCAATTCCTACTACGCTACTGTAATTAAGAGATGACAGGAAAATAAGTTTTGAATATGAATTTCATTTTATTCACTAAGGCTTCATGGTCGTAATAATCACTGATTAGAATTCAAATCAAAAACTTCTCTATCACTCTGCAGTACTCGTCAAAGTTTTCTAAAGATAATGTGGTATCCAGTCAAATGTCTTTGATGTTTATCGACAATTATTAATCTTAAGTTATATAGACAAAAATATGAATAGAAGATAGTTTGAAAGAATGTGTTGCGCCAATCTTATGGTGATGAACGTCATCCTGTATTGAAAATTCCATTTTAGAAACCTCGTTTTGACCTCTGGCAATGACGTACAGTCATTCATATTTCTTTTGTTTGGAACAAAACCAAGAATCGACTTCAGCTAAGTTGTTCTTGATAATATATTCTCCTGAGTGATTTGAGATAAAAGTCATTATGTAACTTTTCCGGCACCGATCAGAACCCCCCTTTTTTAGGCGGTCAGTCATTTAGTTAGGAGCCATCCTGGTATGTATCTGGAGTGAGCAGGAAATATCAATTTGAAATGAAGGAGTTTGCGCAGAAACTTCCATTTGCCAACTTCGTCTGGAAAGAAATAGAAAACATTATTGCAAATACTTTACCGGAAGTTATCAAACCGGAAGCTCCTAGTTTATTTGTTGTTGTTTTATGTTTTATTTTATTTTCTTTCTTAATTCTTTATTTTTTTTTCGGGGGGGGGGGTGATATGAATGAAGAAGAAAAATATCAAAGTACGTTACGATTCGAAAAGCCAATGTGAATCTTTTTATCATATATGATTCATCTATTTTTTATATCCATTACAAAATAATAATAATAATAATAATAATAATAATAATAATAATAATAATACGAATAATAATAATAATAGGATTTTTTTTTAAATGGGATAAGAACATTTTTAAGATGGGATAGGAATATTCGTTTTTTACTGAAATTTTTAAATTGTGCTTTTTCGAGGTGGGGAGGTGAGATGAAGGAGAAAGGGGCGTTTTGCAGAAATTCTCTTTTATAAGATGGCGATGATTTATTTATTTATTTATTTTTATAATTCAGAGTTAGATTTCGAAAAGCGGGAGCAAGTCGAAAGCAAAGGTTGAAAAGAGATGAGCACTTGGTGAATCAATTTAACGTATTTTCACGTTTGCAATCTTCCTGCTCTCGGCTACTCCGAGATTTTCATCCTTTTCTATTCCTAGCGGAAACGCTGTGCGCACAACATGGAGAGTTCTAATGGAAGATTTTTTTTCTCTATTCTGATTTTAGAAAAATAAATAAAAAACTATAAAAATGCGATGAATCAATTTTTTTTAAAGAGGCAAGTCAAATGGGAGTTCCCTGATTTATAAATTTTAGTATTTTATTTTATTTTTCGTTTTTAATCCCAACATTTGAAAAATTATTTACCATATTTGGTTTGATTTTTTTTTTTATTCTGCTAATATTTTTTTTTTAAATTTTTTGTATAAGTTGATCATATTTTTTAGAAGCAAAAATGAACAAATAAATATATGGTGTTTGCATTCATAGATGATGCGCATAGTTACAAGGAATAGAGACCTCGTAGGGAGAGCAGACGATACAGCAGTTTTTCCTGAGCGGAAGTGACACATCACTTTCGCTTCTTGACGTCATTGGTAGTTCCGGATGAATGCGTGAGTGACTTGAGTATTCGTCCGATACGTTTAAGAGGGGTATGGAAAAAAAAAGAACGATAAAGCGAAAAGTGTGATAATAAATAAATAAAAAGTTACAGAATAACTTTGAGACGACATTTAATCCTTTTGTTATATGCCGAGATTTCAAGAAAAAAAATATCGATAAAAATAAACAAAATAAAAAAGAAGGAAAAATATTAGAAAGAAAATTTCCAAAACAGTTAGTAATGGCGACTATAGTGCCATTGGATATTTAAACGTTTGTGTACAAAACCTTCACTTATTGATATTTTTGCTTGAAGTAGGCAATCGAATATGAAAATCGAATTTGGAGATTTTATTCTTTCATCAAATCCTAAAAGTATCGGGTAAAATGGAAAGAGAAAGAAAACAAAAAATAAGGTGTGATTTTAACAGGTAAGCGATAACGAACGCTCAAACACGCATAGGCACAGCGACTAGTAAATATTGTGAGACGCAATACCTGTATATACGCGTATATATATATATGAGTGTGTGCGTGTGTAAATATATATGAGTGTGTGCGTGTGGTTTTTACATGCTTATTGCATTAAATATGCAATAGTACATATGATATATTTATATATATTTACATGGACTTAACTTCATAAAGAAACTTACAGTTGTGATACATACATACATACATACATACACACACACACATAAAATATGTGTGTATGTGTAAATGTGGGCGTGTAAAATATTATTTTGGATTTCGTATATTTATGAAAGAAATATATAAAGAATGTTTAGTGTTGAAGAAAGGCATTTGCGAAGAAAATTTGTGAGGACTTGGATTAAAGAACGCTTGAGGTGT